CTATTATTTCCATCAGCATCTGGGTTGGGATTGACAGCTCAGAGGGGACAATGGAATTCTAAACACGATGGCAAGCCTTATTAGAAAGCAGCCCCAGGAACAGCATGAAGGTCTCAGGACTGATTAGAACATTTTTTTTAGCACTAATATGAACATAAAATATATACATAAACAATTGGATACAACCACAAGAATAAAAGTCTCAATAGACATCTACATAAATATGATATTTCACTCGAAAGTTAAACAAGTCCAATAAATATGCAATACTTCAACCAAAAGAATGTACTTCCCAAATAAACTATCTCACCCTCCTCTCATATGCATAACAGAGTAAAAAGGCTCACAAAAGGCTTAAGAACTCATTCTATCTAGAGCCACTAGATATATGTGTATGCTCTTGTCGTATTATGACAGACCACTTCTCACCACATCCCCCCTGCAACGATATCAGTACCCCACCTAAGACCTCGTAGGTCTACACAATGAAGATAATACCAACTCGAAGTCGAATCTTTATTTTTCTGTACTCATTCTTACATTGGAATCCGTCACTCTAAAGGAATACCAGCCAATCGTAGTGTCACAGCTGATTCTTCGTCCTCACTCAACATCTCCTCGGAAGCTACCCTCACTTGCACGGCCATCGCTTCGACAAAAACCAAATGCAATTTCTCCATAGGAATTTTGGAAAATGGCTCTTAAATATCTCACATCAGCATCAGTACTGTGGGTCATGACCAAATTCGAAGCAATCAAGACACAGTATTTCATAGAATTTAGTAAATACTCCGGATAATATCCACCATGTCTACCTACCTCTCCATTAATATATTTTCTTAATCATAAATCATTTATTCTCTTGAATAGTTACTCATATCCATAATATCGATTACAGCCCATATATTTATTGATCTGATATAGTAGACTATATATATATTACTCCCAATTTTTTATTATGTCGGGTTAGCTAATATACATGCGCATCAAACCGCAGTTGAGAGCTGAGCATGAAGCAGACATGAGTGCCTATACGGTCACACTTATCCACTAATATGGGTCCATTGTACGTGCTTTCAGACGGAAGAATAGATTAAACATATCCATCTTATGAAATGGGAGAGTGATAACGTTAACGCTCTTGTACCGTAACACTGACATTTCGTGCGTCATCCAGTAGCCTCCTGAGCATTTAGTCAGTCAGTTGCTGACGCTTCTGAAGAGATATGAGAAAAATTTCAACTTATTCAACGCGACTTCCACCACCGGAGAAGCAGGCGACGACATATCCAGAGATTATCCTAAACCATAAAAAATAGCGCCCTAGACAAGGTCCCAATACATAGCGGACCTTATATATAACGGGGGTTGGATGGTGGATATACCTCGATCCCTTAAGAGATTTTGTTTGGGATACTTCATTGAATTTCTTAGTTATACCATTTCACACCACGGATCGCTTTTTAAGTGCCTGTGGGGGAATTCACTAAATTGGAATTATAAAAATAATCCCCATTGATGTTACATTACAACTTTATTTTGATATGCTACATTAGTCTTAAACCCTAATCACAGCTACTATCTAATCAAGTTTGGCAATACAACCACCTACAGCTCCTGACGCATTCAACCACACTAGTTTCCACAGACCAGTAAGCATGCATTTTCCAACCAACATATCAGTAGAATTAGATATACATTAACCATTAGTTCCATGATGATATACCAGATATAACAAAGCTAAGATGTATATAGCTTGATCATTGAGTGCATCATCTAATAAGACCACATACACACTATCAAATGTGCATATGATCAAACGAAGACTTAAACGCCAACACTAAGTTTAATACACAGTTGACTATACAGTTAATCATCTAGTTGGATGATCACACAGATACCACGCCACCACACGCTTAGTTGACTATTAGCATTAAGCATTATGTTGATGATCAACAGATACACGCAAGCTAAAGTTTAAGTTGACTAATTAGCCATTAAGGGGGCATTAGTGAATGATCAAGCAGATAAGCAACTTTAAAGTTTAGTTGCACTAATTACAAATTAAGCATAGTTGATGATCAAGCAGATCATGCAACTAAAGTTCAGTTGACTATTATATTAAGCATTAGTTGATGATCAACAGATAAGCAACTTTAGAGTTTAGTTGACTATCTGTTGATCATCAACTAATCCAGAGTTGACTGTTAGTATACTTTTAGTAGGTTCTCTACTAAGCATTTGTAGGCATGTGTTAGGACTATCCAATTAAAGTGAAAAACAGTTGAGAAAAGTAGAAAGTCTATAACCTATCAACAGAATACTCATCCACTAATTATATGCAACAGACATGGGAATAAAAGCGAAATGTTTTGCACAACTGATCACGAACACTGGATAACTGAAGTCAATACCAGGCTATAAAGCACAGTAGAACAAACACTATACACAGCATATCAGAGAAAGAAAGATTTTTTATTTTAATAATATACTACAAGTAAAAACTGAACAGTTGTGAAATGGTAAAAAATAAAGTTTGAAACACATTATCTACCAGCTGGTAGTCAATACCAGGCAAACGGAAAAAAATCACTGCACTGCAGATTTGTACAGTTTAATAACTAAAATTAGGGCTGTCAAGTTAACGCGTTAATAACGCGTTAACGAAAAAAAAAATTAATGCCACTAATTATTTTAACGCGATTAACGCATGTGTATTTTTTGTCCTCGGCCGCCCCGTAGTTTCAGAGTGCATCGTACATCGCGATGCATCTTATAAATCGAGAAATGTCCACACCTCTAATGCTCATCTGGCTATGGCTGTTTGAGCTGAACCTGTAATGAATAATGAAATATAAATAATGTTCTCACCAGTTTTTACCACCAATATATTTTTTATCAATAAATAGCAAATTATCTAACTAGATTTGCACACTGCGCATACAGGCACACTACCTAGTACCTACTATAAAATACAACACATGTTCTAAAACAAATGGGAAGTCACACACATTCATCCAAGAAATATGTGAGAAACACTATGGCTCACCCTGCAACTAAGACACTGCACACAATACACACCACAACAATTATTGGGGGGCAATAACATTTATTGACATTAATGTATTCTTTATTTTTCAGTGTCTTCCATCTCAGATGTGGTGAGAAGATATCGGCGTGTCCTTAAACTGGTGCAGAGAGGCTTCAAGATGACCAAAGCTTTTAAGAAAGCTCATGTTTCCAGGAATGCTGTGAAAGACACTGCAGCAATTGCTGAAGTATTCCTGGTGGACAAAAGTGTCCTAGACCAGTTTAAGGGTAAAACCACACTTTTAAAATTAGCCCAACTCTGTCAGAAAAAAATAGTCGGTGAACTGGCAGAAAAGATTGCTGAAATGAAAAGCAACAAACAGCTCATCCCCTTTTCTGCCAGGTAATTCTGAATGTGGGTTGAGCGTTGTTGTTGTAGGGGGGGAGTTTTTTCATTTTGGAAAGCTACTTTGGGGAAGTTTTTTGGCGACCTGTTAATAATTATGTTTAGATATCCTTTAGTAGGATTGAATGTGGTTCACAACTGTTCAGTTTTTACTTGTAGTATATTATTAAAATAAAAAAGCTTTCATTCTCTGATATGCTGTGTATAGTGTTTGTTCTACTGTGCTTTATAGTCTGGTATTGACTTCAGTTATCCAGTGTTCGTGATCAGTTGTGCAAAACATTTCGCTTTTGTCTGTTGCATATAATTAGTGGATGAATGTATGTGTTCTGTTGATAGGATATAGACTTTCTACTATTCTCAACTGTTTTTCACTTGAATTGGATAGTCCTAACACATGCCTACAAACGCTTAGTGGAGAACCTACTAAAAGTATACTAATAGTCAACTCTAGATTAGTTGACGATCAACAGATAGTCAACTAAACTCTAAAGTTGCTTATCTGTTGATCATCAACTAATGCTTAGTTACTTGTCGGTTTGAACGATGCTGTTGAATGTCAACTGACACATGTCAACTGATGCACTGTTGACATGCTACTAAATGTCAACTGATGACTTACAGTATAGATTGTTATGGACTATCAAAATAAAGTGTTACCGTAATCGATGTAGTTTAATTAAAGATTTGGCGTTGATATTAGTGCCATAAAAGCCTCGATTTCAATACAGTTCTCTCTGCCTTTGGTTTGAAATGTTTCTGTCCTTACCTACTTTCAACTTTACCCAACGTTTTATGGGTGACATCGCTGTTGAGCATTCACACATTTTTCAAGGAAACGTAATGTTGCTTGACATTTTTTTTCAAATGCTGGTACCGGATAGTAGATAGTATAAAGAAACACCTAGGTGTGGGATATCTCTGTTCTGTGTTAACGAGTCCAGGGCCACAGTGAAAACAGACTCCTTAACTGCACCCTGCTTCTCTCACCAAAGAGAAAAAACTATAGCTGCAGAAAATCATTTTTTTTCTCCACAGCCCAACAACAAAGGCCTACATTTTGCTAAAGGCTATGCACAAATTACTGATGGAGAGAGTGCAAGATGGAAGGACAGAGAGAGACAACAGTATCAACAGCTGGTTTCATAAAACAGGATGCCATGAGCACACATAAGGTAGTTGTGATTCAGACAAATAAACAGTCTCACTTATAACACGTACTTGTTCTGCCTTAATTTAACTCATTTGGTAATTTGCTGATTTTGGCCTAAGACTGGATGTCCCATGGTGAAAATGATTGTGATGGTTTTCTTATCTCTCAAGTGAACAACTGACAGATTTAAACCAATGCCTGAAAGGTTTTTACAAAAGGAAATTAATCTGAGCCTTCCTGACTTTCACTGAATACAACTTGTGTTCCTTAAATCCACCTTTTAGACTGTTGGTATTTATCTGTGAATGTGAGGTAAGGTGAACAATACAATTGTGCCTTTAATACATATGCAGGTTTGTTTGTCTTTTTTTCCGGATGTTGCTGAATTATGTTAGGAAAAAAAACATTGAGACAGGTCCAATGTTTATGAAGGACAACTCTTTTTCAACTCTGTTGTTTTGGTTAGTCAGCAGTCTGCTGTATTAACACAGTGGCATCATTAGAGTGAATGTGTGGCAGTGCTACTATTGTTCTGAACACAGCTTACTCTAAGTGACTTCAAGAGTTATTCAGCCGGGTGTTTGAATTTATGACTGGTGGGGTTAAAGGATTTCCAGTGATTTATTACTGCCCTTGACAAAATATTCTTTGGATTACTGAACATTATTTTATTGTATTTGTTGCTGAATCACTAATTCATTATTTAGCCTGCATCCAGTTTTGAGCAACACACAGAAATCAGGTGGTCATGTTTTTTGAAAGACCTGGATTTCATTCAGTGCAGCAGCAGACTGGGTCAATCCAATAGTTTCAATATTGAGGGGAGAATGAGCAACCCCTCCACATTTGGACTGATCATAGTTTTCTATTTAATCTGATTGGCCCAATGATTCTTCATCATGGCTCTATTGTAGTTTATGGTTAGAAGTTGAAAGATATCGAGTATCTGAATCTGATATAAATTTAAGCATTTGTAACTATTTTTGCATTCTATTTTCTGACCATTTTTGGTCCAAAAGTTAGCAGTATTTTGCAGTAAACTGTGTCTTCTTAGTGTACCAGCTCACCTTGGCTTTAATGGAGGGATTACTTCTGATTTGGTGCAGTGGTGATTTGCTTATACAAACTGAGAACAATCGGATTCACTTCATACCACAAAAATCGAATGAGTGTTAAAATGACTTGCTAAAAATGTTGGCTTGCACCCTTCGGGAACTGCATTAAAGGCCTCTCACTCTCAAAGTCCCCGGCTGAATTTAATTCCTAGTAATGTCCCTGTTGAATGTGTTAAAAAGCCTGATGATAAGATATTCTCCTGTGAGTAGAGAAAGCCTTTATAACCTTTATTATTATTTGAACAATTTGTATAGTTATAGTGAGTTTATCAGACGGGCTCAAAGGCATGATTGTTGGCAGCGTAGATTCCAAACAATGTTCAATCACACAGCTGGTCTGTGAGCAGCAAACTGAATCCTGATCCAGTTATATTAACATATTACCAGTCGGTTAATGTCAGAATAATGCTAGAACAGTATTAATGAAGCATAGGGGAGGTTTGGAGATGGCATTTTACAGTCTTTACAACGCAAACACACAGGCACAACATCCTTGGTTCCTTCTTTATTTAATTGATCTAAACCTTATGCCTATAAGCATTTAATAATTGTGTAAATGGGATTATAATGACAGCAACAAGGCTTTCACTCTTCTTGTAGAGAATAATGGGGACTGTATTAATACCCTAAAGGCCGAAAATATATATGCAACTTTAGGTAACCAACTCAGATAAATACCTGATTCTAAATCCTGAGGACGCATTTCTGGATCCATTAACTAAAATGTAACGATACAAATTATGTTTTTAAGTTGATAACAGCATGTTAGCATATTGTTCAGCAACGGCCAATGCTTTTGTTCCAGTGCTTTTCAGTTTGATGTCTCTCTGTAGCCTCCTTCACATACCTTTGGGTGTTTTTCCTACTTCAGCTCAGCAGTATACTGCTGGGATCAAACTGTATAAATGATTCATAATTTCCTATAGCTCTCAACCCAAACCCTGCCTCCAATCCCCACAACACCCCTTGCACAAGAAAATAGCTTCATAAACACACTTTCAGGCACTCAGGAACGCAAACCACCAGCAAAATGACTGCATTCACTATTTAGAAGGTATTAAAGGTGCTTGCAGGCCTCAGTAGAAAATAAAACACTATCCTAAAATGGAAGTGGCTTAAAACAAGCATGTGCAGAACATGTTAAAGTCTAAATCTATGTTGGTTGTTGTTGTTTTTGTTGTTGCTGTTGTTACATATCAATGTCAGATATGTTATAACCAAGGCATACAAACACTCAACAACTTGCATGGCCAAACACCAACAGGGCTGAGGGAGAATCTTGTTTTTCCTTCGGTTTTTTTATTCCATTAAGATGCAGCACCAAGTTACTTTATACTATTTTTGAGTGATGTTGATACACTGGACTGCATTATAATTAGGTGTTTCCAATATTTTCTTCCATTAAACAATTAAAACATTAAATTAACCAATCTAGTACTGTATGAGAGGTTTTCAACACTTGTGTACAAAAAATGTGCTGTTTTTTTTAAAATTATAAATATCGTATAGTGAACAATTCAAGTTTTGTGACATTATAACCTCTCCTCTTCTCCCAACAGCAGCTTTTTTATGAACATATTTCCCAGATGCATTACTCACAAAGACATACAACTTAATGTGCCCATTCATTGGCCTTCGAGAAATAATCCATAGATTTGTTTTATACCCCATGACCTTTGTTCCCCCTAAGGCCACATTTTGAATGTCTTTGCATAAATATGATTTATGTATTTTACAGTCAGTGCACGCCAACTGGGAGACCATATTTGTTTTTACGTATTATGAGCATGTCATTTATACATTCAAACTTTTTTTTAAATGTTGATTATAAATGTTATATTAAGTTACATTACACAAGCTATCTTGGTAGGGGATTTAATAAAGCCTGAAGTGAATAAGTATATTGTTCAATGTCACCCACTCTGACTGCTGGTTATTGAACAAGAACAATGGTGATGTGATAGAATGGGGAAAGGACAAAAGGACCTCATCCGCCTTGACGTGTTTGCCTGTGTGTGTCACTTAGAAAAGAATAAGGGAGCATTAGGAACATATGTTGACGGAACCTTGTGCAGAGAGGAATTAAAAATCAATAGTTTGTTCTATCATCTGTGCTATTCTTTCCTTTTCATCACAAGCTGGGGTGACCATTGACCTCTACAGACTGTTCATCATGAGAAGCTAGAAGAGAAAGGAAGAGAATAATTCGTCGACCTTGATTTTGTCTCATGAAATGATGGATGAAACTGGCGATAAACTGAGAAATGTAATTGATCTCTATTGACATCAAACAATAAATATAATTAGCAGTCTTCTTCTCAAGTCCTCTCAAGTTTGAACCAGGGAGATTTAAAGACCTTTTCTTAAAAATGTCTGATGTCAGTTTCAAGGACGATTATATTAAATGTGCCTCAAATTATATTTTGTAAAGATATCTAAGATTATTTAAATTGTCTGCTTCAATTAATACATTTCTGTATTCTTTACAGTGATGTTATGGCTTAAAATGTGCTTTTGATACAACCAGCAATCCTGAAGCAACAGTTGTATTTAATAGAACTCATGTTTCTGTCGCCACTGCTGATGGCTAGCTCCGTTTTATTTTTCGCTGCTAGATGTTCACAAGCTAACATTTGCTATGCTCATGTTGCTTGGCCTTTCCGGGTCTCAGTTCTCCCAAGCTACACCAGTATCAGTCTGTCATTGTCATGCTCATACTTGATGGAGTCGCAAACTCCATGCAAGTTTGGTACATTAGAAGGATACAAAGTATGGGTTTACTAAGCCTAGTAGGCTAATGCTAACACAATCCTCAAAGAAGAACCAGATCAAAACTGTGATGAAAATGTATGTAATGGATTGGAAGCAGGAGTTAAAGTAGCTATAATAGGACACGTAATTGTGGATTGTGTTCCCAATTCCCAACAAGCCAATAGATATAGCTGTTCAACTGAATTGATAGTTTTAGGAAGCACCAAATCACAATTCATGGGAAGAGTAGACTACAAAAACGGTGCATAAATGCACACCTTGCAGCTATGTTGCCTGAAAATATATGTGAGAAAATTAATAAGATCATCAACATCCCATTCTATTATGTATGTAACAGTAATGCATTTAAATGTGGGCCACCAATAGTGTACTTTAGCCGCCAAATGTAGGAGAATGGTTATCTGTGGAGCCATCTTGAAAATATATTCTTTCATA